GGTGTAGTAAGGATTACACTTATCTCATTTGAAGTTTACCTAATTCTCCTCTTTTCCTCATTGGCTTTCTTTCTCCTTTTTCTTTTAATAGTTTTATCCCAAATAGTAACTTTTTCTCCTTCTTTTTTTGATCTTCTAATATTATTTTGAGGTTGTTTTAGGGTGTTTCTAGGCTAACTAAGGTGGTTTGGAGTGGTGGTCGGATGGTTTTCCTCTTGGTTGGTGTAGTTCCTCATTTAGGGTTACTTGATCATTTATGGCTTCCATCTTCTTCCTCTCCTTTTATAGCCATGTTTTTCCCTTAGGATTAAGCCAAATGTTTACCCAATTTCTTAAGCTTGTTTATTATTGGCTCCTAAATTTTCCTTTTCTTCCTCATCTTTTCTTCCTCTTTTGCCTTAGATATTTTCTTTTATTTCTTCTCTCTTTTGCCACCTCTCTTTTTTTATTTTCTCAAAAATTTTCTATAATTATCTAACTAAATTTTTTTCCTTAAAATCAATTTAATGAGTCCCCTAAAATGTCATCACTTTACACTTTAGTCCCTAAACTTTTAATCTTTGCAATCGACCCCTCCAATTTTAGTCCGTAACCTCATAATTTCCCTCAATTTAGCCCTTATCCTAGGCCTTTTTCCAAAGCTAATTTATAAGTCCCTAAAGTTTCTTAATCATTTCAATCAAGTACTTAAACGTTTAATTTTTACAATTATGCTCTTAAGTTTTACAATTGCATCCCTATGTTAAAACATAACTATAAAAATTAATATTGCTAACTTCTAATTCATTAATTAATTTATTTATTTACCTTCTAATTAATTCATCCGTCTTCCATAATAATTAGATTTGCATTAATTTTATTCTTATCCATGCATAATTTTTCAATCCTCGTTTCAAAAAATATTCATACATTAATTAAATAAATAATTCTTACAAACATAATTATTATAATCCTTTAATTCACACTTTAATTCATTCATTCACCTTCTATTTCATTCATTTACCCTCTATAATAATTATGATTACATTAATTTATTCTTTATTCAAACATAATTTATCAATCCTTATTTCAAATAAATAAATTATTCTTACAAAAGTAATTACTTTTAATGAGGTTTTTAGGTTAAGGATATTTAAAAAAAAAAAAAAAATTGGCATAGGTCCAAACTATACAAAAAATATATTGCGGGATGAGTTTCATCCGACACAAAACCTTAGGTCACACAAGAATGAACATAAAAATTCCGTCAATGCCAATGTCCATACCTTGTCTCCGAAATGCAATAGGAAGATTGACTTAATGAGTTCAAAAGAAAACCTACTAAAAAAAGAGCCAACTATTACTTTCTTTAAAATTTGATAGCAAGTTGAAGTAGTTTATCACAAAAGAACTAAACTTTCTTTAAATCAAATATGTTAGTCTAAATATAGATGAAATGACACAATTCTAATAGTTAAGAACCATATTTAATTTACTATAAATATTAACCCCACATCATTATGAAGAGATTCTAACTTTTGATCTCTAGCAAAAACCTTTAAACTATCTTTTCTCTCAAAACTCTCTCACTTAGACATCATCTAAAGCTTCATATGTTTGGACTTTAATCATTCAACTACCTAATTTGACTTGTATCTTGTTAGCATTGCCTCGCTCCTCCTCTTGTACTTCTCACTATTTGCATCTATTCTCCTTGGTTGGTTGGTTATTTCTTCTACGTGTCACGATAGTAGTTCTATGTATCTTAACCAATATACCAACCAAATATTTTATCAATTCTCAATAACCCCTTCACATTATAGGATTGCATATGATGTAGCTTACATTAAGTATGATATTAAAAAGTGGTTGTCATTTTTTCTTCATGTAACTAACTCTACTTATAAGCTTTATAAGATTAGTTATTTAGGTTTTTTAGTTATCTTAATACTATATTGTAATTTATTTTTCTATTCTTTTCCTATTAAAACATGCCGACTCCAACCTTCATTGAAACAAGATTAACTGTTTTTTTTAAAAAATAATAGTTTTTTAATAATAATTTCATTATCTTTTTCATAATCGGAGAAGTGATGAAATTTACGCATTAACTAAAATAATAAAAGAGAATGCTAATTCGATATACATTCTCATGTGTATTTTTCTATAGCTGAACATCCATTTTTACTATTCTCTCACACATAAGTATACTATTTATTTTCATTGTTTATTTGTATTTTTTTACTTTGGTCCTTCTTTTTTTCAAGAAAAATTTTTAAATGCCAAACTTTATTTATATTGCAATCTAATCCCTAGAAGCTTAAAGGAGAGAGAAATAAAGAGAGAGAGGAGCTAAGAGAGAAAAAGGGATGGCGAGGCCTATTCTAGCCTCTTCGACTCGTCGAAATCACCATTAATTTGTTCTTCTTGAAGAGTAGAATCCGTTTGTTGTGGTTATAAGTCATGAAATGATTAAAAGACATAGATTAAGATCTCCTTCTATCCGAAAGCCGATTGTTTTCTCGAAATCACCACTCCAAGTTTAACCTCTCTTATTGGATTTGTCCAAGTAGTGAAAATAATGGCAATTATGATTTTGCCCGGTGGCATTGAAACAAGAGTCTCTTTAGCAAGCTAAGGCTAAGTCGTTCTAATTCAAAAATATTTTGAGTTTTATTTGATTTTTTGTCCGTTCGTATGCTAATATTAAAATAGGATTTAAGGTTCTAAATGAGTTTGATGACATTATTTCTATAATTTTGAGGTGTTTTGGACAAAAATAGGGTGAATTTGGCTTTAGAGGTTGAAAATTAAAACTTCTTTTTTTCGTGAACTTTAGTTCGTCAAAAATTGTAGAAAGACTACATGTCGTCTATTTTGTTTATTTATTTTGGAGCGAGCCTAATTCTCCAAGCCCAATTGCGTAAGCCTCGCAACCCAACTTAGGTCTTCTTTTTTTTTCCAGCTATTTAGTTATTATTTATTTTGAATTTTTGAATGAAGATTATGGAAGATCGATCGTTATTATTTGGATTCACATGTAGCTTAGCTACAAAAAATATATATGATATGTTTTACATTTTAAAATGAACATATATTTTACATTATATCATTCTTATTATTTAAAATTTATTCTTTTAGTTTATTATTTCTTATGGAGATTGTCATTCAATTAATTTTTTATTTTTATTTTTATTTATTGACAAATATGATTTATTTTTCTCTATGTAGATTTTTGAATAAAATTTTTGAATATTATTATTTTCTCTTAGAAAAAAACAAATTTATATAATTTATATGATGGATTGTTAGAATTTTCAAATGATAGTTGCATGGTTATATATATATATATATATTAAAAAAATTTCTAAGATCAATTATCTGAAAAATGCTTTTAATCTTTATAATAAATTAACAAAATAAATTTCTAATTAAGAATCCATAGGTTTTTTAAATTTTATTTCTAGATTATTAAATTTTTTTTTTACTAATCTAGATAAAAAGAATCAATTATGTTTATTTTATTGAAAAAAATATGAAAAACATAATATATATAATTAGTCAAACACAAAATTTTGATTAAAAAAAATCATAAAATTGAATGGATTTTTTTTTTTACTTTGATTTGATATATTTTTATGAACTCAAAAATACTATTAAACTGAAATAATTTTTAAAATAATTTTACATAATTTATCGTACTCATAGCATTGTAGGATGAGTGAAAAAAAAAAAAACAGTACTATCACATCAATATGTTATTAAAGAGATGGTACTCGGTCAAAACAGAGGCAAGGCACAGGCTTAGGAGGCCTTGGTCCTCCAAATGTTTCATAAAGTTTAATTTAACCCTTATATTTAGAATTCATTTATTGGAAATGCATACAAACCTTGCCAAAATTAGTTAGTTTACTTTGGTCCTATATTATTATTTTAAATTTAAGTTCATCCTTGTAATGTTTTCATAGTGACCCCCTAAAGAGAATATTAGTTATTTTACTTTATTCTTATCCTTCTTCAAATTTGTATGAATCGAGTGTGTTTTTTTCATATTGGCCCTTCCATTTGTTTTGTTCCAACTCCAAAACTTTTTAAAAAGTTTATGATACTTATTCAGTTATAAATTAATGAACATATCATGCTTTGTCGAATAAAAAGAAAAAAAAAAAAAAAGGAAAGTAGGATAAGCTGATCGATATTGTATGCTCTTCCTTCACAAGCAATAAGAAGAAGAACCCAACCCAATCCACCACTCTTCTTCTCTATTCTAACTTCTTTTTTCATCATCTCTAGTAAAGACAGAAAAAAACATACAAGACACCCATTTTCTAACGTAATAGAGAAAGAAAATAAGAGAAAGGAGAGAGAGCTACTTATGAAAAAAGAAAGAAAGAAAAAAATAATTCAAAACTCTAGCTTTGATTACATTCAAAATTATTTAACTTATATTTGACTCAATTTGACCAAAGTGAAGACTAATTTTGATTTTAATTTGACCAAATTTGATTCTACTTACCATTTTTCTTTTTGCCCTTTCTCTAACATTTACTATCAATTAACTATTAAAAAAATCTATCCTAAAAAATGGCCTTTTCTGTTTTCTAGGATCGTTGTCTATATTTAAGCTCATGGATGAATTGACCAAAATAAAAAAGCAGAGGTTAAATTGACTCTCTTGTAGGGTAGAAATGCAAGGCAAAAATGAAGTAATTCTCTCTACTTTTCTGGAAAATTGACTAAAAAACACCCAAAAACACAGAAACCAAAAGTCTCTCTCTCTCTCTCTCTCTCTTCTGTCAGAAAGTCACGAACTTGTTAGAACCCATCACCGCCACTCTCCCAATGTGATCGAAAAAGCACGAAATAGCAACAGGGACAAGAGGGAGAAGGAGAAGACAACTCACAATTCTTCTCCTTTTCTCTTCTAATTCTCTCTCCCTCTCTCTCTCTTTTTATTTTTATTTTTTTCGAAAGACCAGAAAAAAAAAAAGGAGTGAAGGGAAGAGAGGTCCTTAAAAAGAATGCAAGATTCCTCCAACTCAGATGTTGCAGCATTTCCCTTTCGAAGCTCTACTCACAGGCGGGCTCACTCAGAGGTTCCATTTCGGGTGGCGGATTACTTGGATCTGATTCCTGATGAGTTGATATCTGAAGAAGACCTCTTTCGCTCTTATATGGACATGGAGAAACTTGGATCCAAACATGAAGAAGGACCCTCTGGGCTGAAACAGGACAATGTGGGTCAGGAATCAGCTAGTGGTGGTGGTGGGGTTCAAGATGTGGAAGAAGAGGAAGAGAAAGCAAATGTGAAGCCACGACATAAGTATAGCAATTCAGCTGATGGGTCTTCTTTAATGGAATCAATTGATTCTAAGAAAGCTATGGCTCCTGAAAAGCTCGCCGAGTTGTGGGCTCTTGATCCTAAACGAGCGAAAAGGTAGTTCTTCTGTTTTTTTTTTTTTTTTTTTGGTTTATGTATATGTTTTTCTTTGAATGGATCATTGATTTCGTTATAGTGTTCTTGATTGATGTGCTGTTAATGCATTTGCTTTATGGCAACACATACACGAGCAATTTGTTCTATGCTTGTAGGTAGCTCTTGTTTTTGCTTCTGGATACATCATTTTGTTAATGTTGACTTAGTTCGTCAAAACTGTGAGAGATTGAATTAGAAACTGAGTTTTGAATGTCATAACATTTCATGCTGAGACTTTTCCTGCAAATTGTGGCTTTGATTTAGAGTGCAAACCTCGTTGGCTTTAGTTTTGCATTTGGTTGTTAGTTATTTTGGAACGTACTGGGTTGTAAAAATCCACGTTCCAGTTTGTGCACCACAAGGAACCAGTACGTAAATGCACCGCGAACTGGATCAGAAAAACCAGGAAGTTCAACGAATTTGGTAACTGTGGTCCCAATCATCCTGGCTATTTGATTATAAGAGAACACTTTCCTACTATTTTAAGTGGTGGAGATTTGACATAAAATGTCTCAACCTAAAACTAAGTTGCTTATTTTATTTTATTTTTTAATCTTCCAAATTGATAAAAAGTGATGTCAAAGGGTCTCAAATTTCTTGAAATCGATGTGGCTTTGGTTTATGATGGAGCTGAATGGCGTAAAAGATACATATAGCTGACCAAAACTGGTTTATGACTGAGCTTTAGTTGTAGTTTTATCTTCCAAATTGATGGATTGTATCGGTTTAGAAGTATATGAGAATTCAGTGCATGCATGGGCTGCTCTATGTATTTGGGTACCACGATTGTAAGACATATTTCGTCAGTGCATGCTGAAACATATTACTGATGGAGATGCTGTCTTTGACATGATCATGTCCTCGGGAACCCTACAGTGCATGAGCTCTTCTGATTGATATCTTAATATCCAGTCCTCTCCTTTTCTACTTGCATAATCCCATCTTGCTACTTAGTTAATGAAACTTTGCCAAATTTGTTCGTCTTTTTTCCCAACATCTGCAAGGTTAGGCATGTTTCTAAGTTATTTGTTTCGGTTGCATGGATCCTATTTGATAAATAGTAGATGCCATACATTTCAATGCAGACCAAAAATAGCTCTTCCAAAGGTTTGAATAGAAACTCAAGGGATGAATTGGCTTGTAGTGCTTTACTGCCTTAATTTCTCAGTTCTTTTAACATTTTTCAGGTTACTTCCTTATTTTATGCTTATTAATTTATATCAAATAATCTATTTGCTGAAGTATACTATGTAGCATGTCCATGAGACTCTAAAGAGTGATTCTTTAATCTTGGAATTGCTTTTGATATATCTGACTTGCATGTAGATGGATAAAAGTTTACATTATTTAAGTGTCCTCTAAACAATTATATTATTTATCTAGAATTATGGCCAATCGGCAGTCTGCTGCTCGGTCGAAAGAGAGGAAAGCCCGATATGTATCAGAACTTGAAAGAAAAGTGCATACCCTTCAGACAGAGGCAACTACACTTTCTGCACAACTTACACTATTCCAGGTTTGGCAATGCTATGCACAACGCACGTATGTTTAGAAGGCTATGGATAAGAGTTTCTGAGTCTCTAAGTCTGTCATTTATTTATGGACTTGCATACTCATTTCAGAGGGATACATCAAGTCTGACTACTGAGAACTCAGAGCTTAAGCTTCGGTTACAAGCTATGGAACAACAAGCTCAATTACGTGACGGTATGCTTTAATCTTGCTCTGCTTTAAATGCCAATCCCTTTTCTATTGTTGGATGGAAGTTCTTAGTAGACAGTTTAGCATTTTATGCAGTGAAGTGGAGGCAGTTATGCTGTTCAGGTGTAATACTTGCCTCCAAAAGATGGTGCTACTTGTAACTTCAAAGCACATGTACTCCAAAATAATGATTGTCATCCAACATGTCATTACCAATTATAATTGTGGTCTAGCTGGCATTTCATCAACTTGGTTCACTACCTGGAATGTTTGCACTTTAGATATCGCCAAATTACTGTATGTGCATTCTAGCTAAGATTTTACGGTCTATATCTATGAATGAGATATGACATCAATCTATGCAATGAGATAGCACTTCAATACACTTGCACATTTTTTGTCGGGTATTATTTCTCTCTGGTTATCTTTCATTTGACATATAAGACAGGAAGTATCTTGACTGTATTTTTTGTTGCTTCGTTCTGATTTATAGCTCTGAATGAAGCACTAAAGAAGGAAGTGGAGAGACTCAAGTTTGCCACTGGAGAAACAATAACACCAACAGATAGCTATAATTTGGGAATGCAGCATATTCCATATAACAATTCCCCCTTGGTTTCACCTAAGCCACAACCTGGGTCAGTTGATGCCGTAAACGTACAAATCCCACAGTGTCATCCTCTGTATTTTAACTTGTCAACTCATCAGCGAGCTGTTTCTGCATCACATTCCCATGCCTTGTCGGATATTTTGCCACAGGATCCTCTCAGACGGCTGCAGGGGCTTGATATCAGCAGCAGAAGCTCTGTTCTGGTTAGATCTGAATGCCCCTCATTTTCCGCCAGTGAAGATAGCAGTCTTTGACGAAATTTTGCTGATATACAGTTGACCCCACCTTGTTTATTGGATTGTTCATAGACTGACCATATTGACAACCAGGTGTTTGCATTCGAATTTGATTCTTTAACTGTAAGTGGACTTAAGATCTTTGGTAATTTCCAAGTAACTTATTCACGAAGATTTGACTATGTCCAAAATTGAAATTTCATTTTTTGGGAGAAACTAGCTGGACTAAAAGGTCATTTCTTGGCGAAGATAGATTTTTTCAAGTTGAGAGCTTCATTACAGAATTTCATGACGATTTGTTTATGTTCAATGTTTATATGTATTTTTTCTTGTTTACTTGTCATTACGATTCACACTCCATTCAAATTTCAAAATCCAAATACTGTTTTTAAACTTTCGTACTGTATTATCCAATGCACATCCAGACTACTAAACATTGCTCAGGCTTTCATATTTCCATAGTAGATTCTGTTTTGCATGCCAAACTCCAATTTCCAAATATTCCCTACCCCACTTCAAGTCAATATCCTTGATTTCTCCATTACAGATAATCATCCTCGGTCCATTTCGTTTGCAGTTGGTATATCTGGTTGGCAGTAGTATAACAAGGAGAGGGAAGAGGGACCTGTGATTTGAAAAAGGAAACCGAGACAGGCGGGTTTGCTTGTGCCATGCTGTCTCAGTTGTAAATATTGAGGCTTTTTTTTTGGACCTATAGCATATTCGGGCTGGCTTGGTTGGGTTTGGGTTATAAAATGATGAGCCCGAGCCTATATGCTAAAATCTCTATTCAGGCTCGACCGATAAATCTCTAGCAGCCCAACCCAGATTAGGCTTAGAAGCAACCATCATGCACGGGCGACATTCAAAAAAAGAGAAGGGAAAATTATGAGTGACATAAGTTCATTACGATTAACAGACCCATAATTCTCGAAAACTATAACTTTGGTATCCAACTTTTATATTTTTTTTTCAGTGCACAACTTATAAATTTTTCTATTTTAATGTACAAACTTTGATTTTTTTTTTTTAGTGCTCCTAATCACTTAAGAATATAAAATGCTAACGTGTTCACGATGAACTACTAAATGTCAGTTAAAAAATACTACGTAGTCTTTTTAGATTGATAACAACATCACAAATCGAGAATAAAAAACATTGTGAACCGACAATAGCATTGCATAAATCATTTTTTATAAAATCTAACAAATCAATAATAGCATTGCGAACTTGGTAGGAAAAATATTTTAAAATTACAACAGCATTGTAAAATTATTTTTTGATAAAAATCGAGCGAATTAACAACAACATCCTTAATCAGGGATTGAAAATGTTGCGAAATGACAATAACATCACATCGCAAAATCATTTATTAATAAAATTAGGCAAACCGACAATAGTATCGTGAATCAAAAAGTGAAAACATTGCGAACCAACAGCAACATTGCAAAAATCAATCCCAATCAAGATTGATGTTCCCTTAACTAGTCACTTTGTAGCTCCGATTTCCTTAATTTTCCTTCTAACTGGCACTCAAGAACTGGTCTAGGGTCCAATATTGTTGTTCTTTAACATCCCTAAATAAGTTTTATGCAGCCAACCAGTTAAAATAGCAAGGAAATCAAAAAAAAAAAAAAAAAAGAAAAAGAAAAAAGAAAAAAAAATCACAATTCGATCATGTTTTCTGCCCAATTTTTTTTTTTTTTTTTTTTTTCAGTCAACTAACTCACTTATATCCTTGGTTTCTAGGATTTGTTTTAAATTATTGCAACTAAAGGGTCTAGGACCTAGACATGATATCTCTCTACCCCTAAACAAGTTTTCCGCTATTAACAAGCAAGATGAGCAGGAAAATCAAAATAAAAAACTCATACTCAGTCTGTTTTGCGCCCGATTTTTCCTTTTTTTCCATTTTTTATTCAGTTGACCAACCTACTTCTAACTTCGTTTCCAAAGATTTTTCTTTCAAATAACAACAACTACATGGTCTAGAGTCTAGGATCTAGGGGTGATGTTACTCTACACCTACAAATAAGTTTTACATGTTCAATGAACATGGTGAGCAAGAAAATATAAAACAAAGACCCTAACCCAACCTGTTTTTCTGTCTAGTTTTACAGTGTTGAATAACCCATTTTTTAGCCATTTTAATGTTATTTCATGAGGTTCTAAGACGAAATATGACTTGCAAAAGAAAAATATGCATGTTATAAACAAAAGCTTTTTTTTTCCTTTTTGTTTTGTAGCCCTTAAAATCCCTTCCCTATCTCTCATTTTAGATCACTAATCTTCACTTTTTAATTCTTACCATTTAAGGTCTATCCTTAGCTGTCTTTTGGTCCTTATTGTAGCGTGAAAGAGGGCATGAAGGGTGGCATTTTTTGGCTTGGAACGTCAACTCAAAGTTGATAATTTATTTCCTGTTTTTTTTCATGGTTTTTGGGTTGATTTTTACGTGAGAAAATGGAGGAGAATTAAGGTGAAAATTGAAAAAGATTGATGTGCTGGATTTGCCTATCAAGAGGAGGTGAGAATTGGACTAAGAAAGAGAGGAAACGAGGAGAAAAATGACAAGATTTATTTTAACAAAGAGCTTGTAGTCTAATAGTAATGGTTTTTTATAACAAAGGATCACAAATTTAAATGCTAGCAAATTACTTTGATATGAGTTTGGATGTGTGAGTTAAAAAAAAAAAAACCAAAGAGCTTCTAACTTAATAGCTTGTAGTCTAAAGATAATTGTCTCTTGCAAGAAGAAGTTATAGGTTCAAATCCTATCAGATTAGTTCTACTAGAAGTATTGGATGTATGAATTAAAAAAATGACAAGAAAAATAAGACAAATGATCATGAACTTGTAGCCAAAAAAGGGAGAAGAAGATGGTGAATAGTACCGGGCTTTAATTGAAATGACATCGTTTCAACCGAGCCTATTCTTCTTCTTTTTCTTCTTTTTTTTTTTCCTCCCAAAAAACCGTGTGTTCTACTTACTTGTTCAAGTTGATGATTCTATTTCAGCGCTTTATTGGATTTTGTCCCTTAGTGTTTTGTTTTTTTTCTCAATTAAGCCCTTATGTCTCTCAATTTCAATCTTTTTCTTAATTTTTTGGTCATCTTGCTTTTTTATTCTTTTAAATTGTACCCCAAGTTATTCAATTATCCTTAACCCATTTTCTTTCTTATATATTTTTGTTCTTTTTTTTTGGCTTTCTTCTCCGATGATTTACCCTAAGTTTTTTTTTTTTTTTTTTTTGCTCTCCTTTTTCACTCTCACTTTTCTTTTCTTTTCTTTTCTTTTCTTTTTCATTCTTCCCTCTTTCTTTTATGTTCTCCACTACTTTGAAAAATTCAAGAAATATAATAGCATCATTTAAACTGTAAAAAATTATTAAATTACCTAAAAATTACGCAGGGAAAAAATAGATTTTGTTTTTGAATTTCTTGGGATTGTTGAATAAATTAATATTCCTTTTTAAAAAATTATAGGGGTTAAAAATGGATGCTAACAAAAGAGAAGAGGGAAAAAAAAGGTAAATTATGAAAAACACCCTATAGCAGATTACAGGAACACTCCACACCCTCGTTTTTCAAAAATTACACTTTGAATTTTTTACGATGAAATTTCAAACAAGTGAAGTATAAAATGACAACAATACCACATATATATATATATAGGAATAAATTACAAAAACACTCTATAGTTAGATAGCGGAAACACTCGCATACTTATTTTTTAAAAATTACACTTTATATTTTTGTTTTTGTTAATTAAATGTTTGTGTGGTCATTCGTGGTCTAATTGAAGACAAATTGAGGACCATTTGAAGTTGAAATCATGTATGCTATAGTATCATTCTAATTTTTTAACTTTTGAAACATAAACTATAAAATATTGGGATTAATATTTTTTATATTTATCTAATCCCATGCAAAACCCATAAAAATTTTTGGTGTTTGAACGGTTTTATTACCTATGTTTTAAAATCCCAAAAAAGTCTTAATTTTTTAATGTTTGACTTTTGGTTTGAAACTGTTTGTTTATCTTTTAATTGGATGTTTCGAGCAAAACCCATAAAAATTTTAGGTTTTTAAATTTATTTAATTAGTTATTTTAAAATTTCCAAAAAATTCTAATTTTTTAATGTTGATTTTTTTAAAAATTCTTAAGTGTTTCTATAGCTTATCATGTTAGTTTATTACAAAACCTATTAAACCATAAATGGAAGGTAGAGAATTTTAAAATTTTCTCTTCTCTTCTTACACTACAAAAAAAAAAAAAAAAATTAATTAGAGACGGTCTAGTCCATCTCTAATCGTATGAAAACCGTCGCTAATTTTATTAAGAGACGAGTTTTGCGACGGTTCAAAAAATCTCCGAAAAATGCTAGTTGGTAAATTTTGTGACGGTTTTGCAATGGTTAAGATCATCTCTAATTTTTGTGATGGTTTTGCAATGGTTAAGACCGTCTCTAATTTCTGCGATGGTTTTTGCGATGGATTGAAATCCGTCTCTAAATTCTATGATGGACTAGAACCGTCATAATTTTACGACGAGAAGTCGTACCGTTGCTAATTAGAGACGGTTTATTCCGTCTCTAGTTCCCTATTTTTGTTTTTTTAAAATCTCAATTTAAAATAAAAAAAATACCCAATGGATAAAATTTCAAAATTTCAAAATTTATTTAAAAGTAAAACATATTATTAAAATAATAAATTATCATAAACATTCGAAGGTTTTTTGTTATAACAAGAAATAAAACATAATAAGCTAGGATTGACTAGTAGAATCGTCACTCGGACATTGAGTTGAATTGTCGGGAGGTTGGGTGAAATCATTGTCGGTGTTAGGCATGCCGAATGAACTGCTCGAATGCATATGCTCGTATAAACATTTACTATATCCGTGTCACCATTACTTGTTGTTGTCGATTGTACTCCTCTAATCTTTTAGTTGTAGCCACCAACGATGTCACGAGTAGACTCTAGTTAACTATATCGATCCTTGCTCTCCTTTTGATG